AAATTTTTATAGCTAAAATCTGCGGACAACCGGGTCCTTCAGGAGCAGCTTAATAATAAGGTATAAATTCCTTTATGTTGCTGACGTACCTTTTTCCTTTTTCGTTAACTAATAAAGCTGATTTCAGTCAAAGATGATGCAGGAATCTTTTTAAATTAAGTTGTTTCTATTGATAATTGATATCCTCCCTCCGTGTTCTAATGTTGTTGGCAGTGTTCTGAGAATAATGAATTGCAAGAAAAAGTAAAGCTGCTAGAGCAGCAACTGGCTGCAGCTGCCAGTGGTGGTTTAACTTTGTCTTCTGAACAGTTTGTCTCCGGCGAACGCATAGATGAGTTGAAAAAGAAAATTCAGTCCCAGGTATGTTAGAATTTTTTGGTTTTATAGCTGCACGCCTTTATGGATCATGTGCCAGATGGGATGGGCTTTTTCTTAAAACGCTTAAAAGTGCTTTCGGTGTAAAGTTTCGATTAATGTATTTGAGACGTTAAAAATTTTAACTCTTGGGGTTGAAAACTTTGCTAAAAGAGGCTTCACCAAGTATGTGCTCTTGACTGGTCAGATGCAATATGTGCCGCTATTTACTTCAACCGGACTGTGTGTGGTTTCTCTCTTCTTTCTTCCTCTGCTTGTATTAAAAATATGATTTTCTAATCTACGATTCTCATATATCCCGCCTTGCTATTGGCTTTCATAAGTGGAACACTGTATTGCGAATACTATTCTGTGTGAAGCATGAACCATAGCAATATGGTTATTCTTCTCGTCCAATTAACAGTTTTCCATTCTATCCAACCTCCTAAATAATTGACACTTCTTCTCCCCCATTTACAGGAGATTGAAAATGAAAAACTAAAGCTAGAGCAAGTTCAGCTTTCAGAAGAAAACAGTGGGCTGCGGGTGCAGAATCAGAAACTCTCTGAAGAAGCTTCTTATGCCAAAGAATTGGCCTCTGCTGCTGCTGTGGAGTTGAAGAATTTGGCTAACGAAGTGACAAACCTTTCATTACAGAACTCAAAATTGGAAAAAGAATTGACGGCTGCTCGTGACCTGGCCAACTCCAGAAGCTCTGTTCTGCAAACTGTTAATGGTGTTAACCGCAAGCACAATGACGCAAGATCTGGTAGGAAGGGAAGGATTTCAAGCCGTGCTAATGATATGTCAGGAGCTGCTCTAGACGACTTTGATTCATGGAGTCTAGATGCAGATGACTTGAAGATGGAGCTACAGGCTAGGAAACAACGAGAGGCGTCTTTGGAGGCAGCATTAGCTGAGAAGGAATTCCTAGAAGAGGAGTTCAGGAGAAAAATTGAAGAGGCTAAGAAAAGGGAAGAAGCTCTGGAGAATGACCTAGCAAATATGTGGGTCCTTGTTGCCAAGTTAAAGAAAGAAGGGGTTGCTGTTCCAGAATCTAACACTGATCAGAAAGGTGATGGGACAGAACAAATCAATGATGACAAAGAAAATGGCGTCGAAATTAACAACGTTCCTAAAGAACAGGTTTTCGATGCAGCAAAACCAGAAAATGAGGTTTCCACAGAAGAACCCCTAGTTGTTCGTCTTAAGGTGAAAAACTTCTACAGTTACTGAAGCATTTCTATCGTAGAAAACGTGAACTGATCTTAACATCGCCGAACTCGATCTTCAACATAATCTTTATATTCGGTTGTTATCTATACCTTATGATTTCAGGCACGCATGCAAGAGATGAAGGATAAAGAACTCAAGAGTCTCGGGAACGGGGATGCCAATTCCCATGTTTGTAAAGTATGTTTTGAATCGCCGACCGCAGCAATTCTTCTCCCATGCCGACACTTCTGTCGTAAGTTTTCTTAATTAGTCCAAGCCTATTTACTTCACGTTGTTTGGTCGTTTCTTTGGGTTTACGTTCTTGAATTTTTTGTTGTTGTTGTTGACCTAATGTTCTTGATACTTTTACTTACAAACCTGTTGTGTAACTTTGCAGTGTGTAAATCTTGTTCACTAGCTTGTCATGAGTGTCCAATCTGCCGCACAAGTATAGCAGATAGGCTTTTTGCTTTCGCCTCCTGACCTCATCACAAGGTCTTGATTTTTTTTTTTTTAAATGACGATGAACAATATTTATTTCTGTACAACGTCTATAAAATTTCACATGATTTTTGCAGGGCTGGCCTCATTGAGTTCATATTTTCCATGCGACAATGAGTGCGATTCTTTCATTAGTTTGCTTATATGTAAAGGTAAATCAAATATCTTCCTTCTCTTACTCTATCCCTGCGCAACTGTATAATACGGGGAGACAAAGGGGTGGGAAAAAATGTAAAAAGAGGAAAAGGAATGGCTGTAAGAAGCACTGCTAAATGATGGGCACGAACAATGTTGTTTGATGTAATACACAGCATAATTTTGTTATTCTCTGTTCATATTTTGCTACATAGATCGGCTGTTAGGTTCCTCTTTCCTCCTTGGAATATGGATATGATTGCCGTATCAAATATTGTTACTGTTAGTGTACCGTACCAGAACACTCGATCGTTCTGAAGGTTCTTCACTGATGCTTTGGAGGGATACATGTGTAAAAGAATTTTTATGTCTATAATATAATATAACATGTTTTTCTACATGGCAGGTGAATTATGTGGTTCCATATAAATTTGACTTGATCTTTTGATTTCTCCATGATTATAAGATTCGACATTAAACAACCAGATTGCTACACTGAAAACGAAATAAAATGATTTCCATATATTTTCTTAATTATAAAATATCAATTATTCTGTTACAGTTAATAAGAAGTGACGTATAGAAAAGTAATCTTGCATGAAAAAAACTCTTAGTAAATATTCAAGATAAAATTCTAATAGTTCAAATGATACAAATAAGTTTTGACTGGCTATGATTTCTCATAAAATTTGAGAATCAATAGATCCCTATGTAATGCGGGGATAATTATAAGGAAAAATAATAATAGTTTCAATTACATTTTTTAATAAATATTTTTATCAATTTAAAGCATATTTAATGTCTTAACTAATATTTTTAATTTGTGGGAACGTTTAATTGATGTTTTATATTATGCATAGGAGAGCATAGTTTAAATATGAATTTCAGGTTGGTTGATCTCAGAACTGTAGTATATCCCTACAATTTTCAACTTCCCAACTGTCGATTCTCTTGGGGAAGGCAGATTTAATAAAAATATGTTCCCAGGAGGCTTTATTTTTGAAATAAAAGCTCCCCCTTGTCCGCTTGTGCAAAGGGACCAGTTCTGGGACAATTTCGGCTCATGTTATTCGTGAGGAGCGGGAAAAAATCAAGATTCCTCCTCGTGACTCGTTTCGGACATCTTCCATGGTCACCGACCCGGCAGCGAACTTCCGTAAAATTGAAGAAGGCAGAAATTTGGACTCAGAAGAAAATGTACCCAACTAGTAGTCAACAATAATAGGACGTTGGGTGGCTTGCTTTTCTCTTGGCGGTGTGGAGGTTTGTGCCACATATCGCCGTTTTGACTTCACACTCAAGTGCCTCGGTGTGAAAAACAACCAGACGGCGTTCCGAAAGGAACATTTTGTTTCAATTAATTGATACCTGAAAATCAATATTGAAAAAATTAAGATCTTTTTCAAAATTTATAATAATAACTTGTTATAACTTCTGACAAAAAACTTACTAAAACTAATTGTTTAAAGTCATCATCGACTTCCCTCGTAATTAAAACTTAGTCTTACTTATTTTATAATAATAACGTATAACAAAAAATTTATTTAAAATGATGACAATATTAACATTAAAAGTTATAAAAGATTTTTCTTATACAATATAGAAGATTATATTGCTCATAACATAAGCCATGCATCTCATATTTATATAGAGCTTAGAGGGCGTTTGAATGAAACTAAATCATAGTTTGAAGAATAGCTTCTGAAAAATAGATTTTAGAAAAAATAGATTTTGTGAAGAATAGATTTTGTGAAAAAATGATTCTGATAAATGAGAGTGTTTGGATAATTGTTATCAGAAGAACTTTTTATATGTACAAATTTTACTAAAAAAAGCATAAGTTAATATGATAATTACATAAAAGATAGATTTTATAATATATTTTAATTTGAAAAAAATAAAATTGTTAATAATATATTTTTTACCAACATAATTAATAATATATAAAATAATATAATTAATATGTATATTTATTTATAAAATATAAGATTAATATGTTTATAAAAAATAATTGAGGAATGTTAAAATCATATTATCGTTAAGATTTACTCTATAGGCACAATCATACTTTCCCATTTGAGCTAGAAGCAGAATAGATTCACTTCTTCTGAAACCATAGTTTTAAACTCCAAACCATGGTTTTCACCCAAAACCATGGTTTCTGTTTTTTTCTGGGTGTTTGGCAAGTCTGGGATCCAAACCATGGTTTTTTATGTTATCCAAACAGGCCCTTAGTCTACCTTTTATGAACAGTAAGTTATACGTTTTTGAAAGCTATTTCTAAAATTCGATGCATAGTGCTAGACATCATATTGATATATCAACAAAGGTTGTAAGTAATGATTTTTGCTTGTTTATATATTATTCTTAAGTCATTTTTTTAGGTCTTAAATGAGAGCGACTCAAATGTGCAGTTGAAGTTTTATATTTAACTTATGCAATCATATTTCCTTACAAGGCACGTAAATGTGAGTCCTTCTTTATATTATCTGGTTGCCTGTTCGACATTAGAGAAGTTCCTTATATCCACCGAATTGCAAGCAGCTAACTTTGAACGAACGCCATGATCAACCGCCGACACGGAATTAGTCGCATGGCAGGGTAGAAAGATAGTTATTTCAATTGAAAAATGGCTAAATAATATAATTAAAAAGAAACTAATAAGTAAGATAATTTCTTTCCACTTATCTTGTTAACTTCCAAGAGCCATAGGTGTCTTGTTGACCTCCACACTAATGAAAAGTACTCCCGTCTATTGCTAAAAGAAGGAAAATAAGAGTCTGAAACGAGAAATCGAAAGCCGAGAAGATTCCCCAGAAAAATTGAAAAATGAAAAGAAAGAAAGAAGCAAGGAAATGCAAATAACTAAATAGAAGATATCCTCTAACTGATTGTACAAACTGTTCTAATCAACGGGAGCGTCTAACACTGTTTTGTTGATAGAAGATTGATTTTTATGAACAATTCGGCGAAGTTCTCTTTAGTCATTTCTTGAGATCCAGCGAGCGAATTGCAAAAGCTGAGGAAGATAGGAGAAGCCCAAATTAAAGGTGCGGGGAATTCATCTTGAGCTTCTAAACAAATACATACTTGCTTCATTAATATCTTCCTCCTCAAATGCTGACAGGTTCCCATACTTCTGCAATACACACACAAAACAGAGTTCTTAATTAGAATAATGCCATAAGAAAAACAAACATATCTCCCTCTAATTTTTTTCCTGGGAAACATCAACACAATAACACGACATAAATATCTTAATAATGCTGTTCGTTAGTGAGTGGGCCACACTTGAAAGAAATTGTCTCCTCGTTTGAAAATTGAAATGTGTGCAAGAAGCGTGAAATTTAAAAGACAAAAAACGACGACTTTGTTTGTAGCAGTAGTTCATAGGGTTTATAGCAAACCTTGCAGAAACCATTAAGTGGAGGGAATGAAGAAGCGTCAAGAAGATCTTCAAAGCAATAACCAGGTATCTTCTCGATCAAGTATTCAGAAATGCTACTTGTTGAAACTGAACTGGTATCACTAATCATGCTCTGATCTTCAACGTTACCAAAACCAGTCGCTGAGGCTAATAAAGACCTATTCACCATTGAAGAACTGGCATTCTGACTTGAAACTGATGATCTGTGTCTCTTCATGTTAGATTGAGAATCACTGCTCGAGATAGAAGCAGAGAGCTTCACACCGGTGAGAAGAAACCTGTTATGTTTCCGAGTATGCTCACTGGCCCTGTGAAGAGGAACGTCACATTCTCTGCACAGTATCGCTCTGTCCTCTTGGCAAAACAGATACGCTCTCCTCTCCTGCAACCAAAAAAAAAAAAAAAGTAACAATCACCATAACATCAGATTCTCGAGTCAAAGCATTTCTTCCTTCTTCAAAATTTGGTATTTCTAAGTCTACTTTTGTGGTTAGATTAAGGGTGTGTTTGGGTGACACCCCAAACCATGGTTTGGGAACCCAAACCATGGTTTGGGGAATAATCTACCCAAACACCCCCTCCAAAAACCAAAACCATGGTTTTAGGTCAAAACCATGGTTTTGACTCCAAAACCATGGTTTTGGAAAAAGCAAAATGTTTTTGCTTTTGGAGAAAAAAGGGAGAGTGTGAGGGCTTATATGATATGTATCTTGTTATTTTTTTATAAACATATTTTTTTATAAATATATTTAATCTTATATTTTATAAATATATATACACATTAATTATTTATTAATTATATTATCTTATGTATTATTAATTATGTTGGTAAAAAACATATTATTAACAATTTTATTCCTTCAAATTAAAATATATCATAAAATCTATTTTTTCTGTAATTATCATATTAACTTATGTCTTTTTTTTAGTAATTTGTATATATAAAAAGTGCTTCTGATAACAACTATCCAAACACTCTCACTGCTCAGAATCACTTTCTTACAAAATCTATTCTTCACAGAATCTATTTTCCCCAAAATCTATTTTCCAGAATCACTTTTCCAAACCACGGTTTGGTTTCATCCAAACACACCCTAAGATTAATGCTGTGTTTGGGTGACACCCCAAACCATGGTTTGGAGAATAAATCACCCAAACACCCACCCAAAAACTAAAACCATGGTTTTGGGCCAAAATCATGATTTTGAAAAAAGCAAAAATTTTTTGCTTTTGGAGAAAAAAGGGAGAGTGTGAGAACCTATAGGATATATATCTTGTTATTTTTTTTTATAAACATATTTTTTTATAAATACATTTAATCTTATATTTTATAAATATATATACATATTAATTATTTATTAATTATATTATCTTATGTATTACTCCTCCGGTCCTTAATATAGGATCCAATTTTTAAGTTAGTTTTGGTCCTAAATATAAGACTCATTTATCATATTTATCAATTTTCTCTAAATTACCCTTATCGATACTCTCCCAACCATAATCAAATAAAAAAGGGAGATAAGGTATTAAGAAAGATAATTGTAGTGTTTTAGGAAAAATGTATCATATTTTTTATAATTAACTAACTTACCTAACTTCCTTAATCTAATCAAATTAGTTAAATGGGTCTTATATTAAGGATCGGAGGAGTATTAATTATGTTAATAAAAAATATATTATTAATAATTTTATTCCTTCAAATTAAAATATATTATAAAATCTATTTTTTCTGTAATTATTATATTAACTTATGTCTTTTTTTTAGTAATTTGTATATATAAAAAGTATAATAACAACTATTCAAACACTCTCACTTCTTAAAGTTACTTTTTTATAAAATCTATTCTTTTCAAAATCTATTTTTTCCGGAATTTATTCTTCTCAGAATTTATTCTCCATAATCACTTTTTTAAAAGTTTGGTTTCATCTAAACACACGCCTGGAGGAGAAAGTAAGATAAAGAGAAAGAAAGAGCAATGTACCTGACAGATATCGCAGAGAGGAGAGGAATTAGAGGAAGGGTGATGAAGAGAGAAGCGAGAATGTTTGCGAGAGAGCTTGTTGGCATGGTGGATGGTACGATCACAGGCGCAGCAGAGAGCAGCTTCGTCGGAGGGACAGAAGACAGAGGCCTCCGCTCTGTCACACACATCGCACAGTATCTTCATTTCTCTGTGAATCTCTCTCTCTCTCTCAAGGAGGAGAAAGAGATGGTATTTTGAGATGGGAAGCAAGCGAAAGAGGGAATGAGGACGAGGGACTTATGGGCGCTGATTAGGCTCCAGGGACTAGGGGTCCACAGAGAACAGCTAGACCTCTTTATTATTCATTCACTTTTTCTGACTATCAAGGCTATGCACCAGCCCATGTCCCAACCTTTGCTCCATATAAAACACATTTCTAATTTGACATCTTTTATTGACCCTAGTTACCCCTTGCCGCAGTTGTTTTATGATTTTATCTTTAAAGTGGCTCATTTGTATTTGCATGAAATTTTTATGTGAGTTGTACTATTTGTACTAAATATAGCTTTATTGTTTATTGTACGAGAATTTGATACTAAATGTATTATTTTTCTTAATCTAAAGGATTATTTAGAAACTATGAAAAATACACCAAAAAAATTCAATCAAATTGAAATACAATTTTTTTCCCTATTTATCTTGGTCTCCGTAAAATTTTTTTTTTTAAAAAAAAACCAATACGAACACTTTTTAAGTCATGCATTGTTAGAGGATCTCTTAAGAATGTTTTCGTTTTTGGGGAAATTTATAGTTTAAGTATATATTATTATTCGAACTGTGTGTGTTTATTTGAGTAATTAAATGGGAGCTTTCGAAGTTGGAGAGTCTTTGGACCATGGGTTGTTACATTCAAGTTCTCTAGAAAAGGGTTTCGCACTTTCGCTTTCATTCTGAGTGTGTCTCTGTCTGAATCTGAATTCTGAAGAGTGAAGCCCGGGCTCTGATTCTGAACTCGGGAGGCATGGCCCCGCATTTATCTTCGCATCAATTAATCTAAACTTTAAGCACTTTCAAAAGTTTTGCAGTTGAAGTCATACCGTGGGACACAACAGCATCGTAAGATTTTTTATTTGTTTGTTTGTTTGTTTTTATTTATCATATATGCAATTATTTTGCTAGGAAGGATGATGTGGTTAAGTCTTTTATTTTATTTTCTTTCTTGCGTTATATTTTTATAAACAAATTAAGAATACGAAGAATGAGAAGAAGAAAAGAGAAACTGAAAATTACAAATCCCAAATCAGGTTTAGTAATATAACTTTATTTGGTATTGACAAATTTGAATTTATAAATGATAATAAATTTTTATTGATATTCCTTGTCTAACATTTATAAAATTTTAATTTTTTTTTGGGGTCATTTTCTCTTAAGAATATTCTTTTTCCCAGAAAATATAAGGCCCCCCAGCCCACAAAAAAAGCCGTGCAAGAAAAACGATAATGGGTGGGACCGTGGGTGGAAACGGGATATTCAAAATTCTTCATGCATTGAAATGAATGTGTTTGGTGATAGGTGCACCTAATTTAGTAAATGATCACGTTAGATGTAATAATTTTTTGCAAATAAAACATATAATATTTTTTTTCAAAACAAAAAAAATTATATGCCCTATTTTTTTTCCAGACACAGGCATTCTCAGGCAGTAAATATGAACACACAAATCATAGATAGCCAATTCTATTTTTGACCAATCTTTTGGTTGAAATTTGATCTCATTTGTAAAGACTCAGATTTCGTGCATTAATAATTTTTCTTAAATTGATCCTTCCTAAATTCATTTATCAAATATTATCTGCATATCAACAGAGCAATAAGAGACATTAATAACTGAAATAAATTAAAAAGAGAGAGGCTGCTATTGCACTCGATGAGTCCCGGTTCAATTCATGACTGGGATCCTATATTGATACGGGACATGATTTTAAAGGTTATCTTTTCTTTTCCTTGCGTCCTCTATGAATGACACAAACAACTGGGTGCATAATTTTTTAGTCCTAATAGCTATATAATTCTTCTAATTTTCCTGCCTTTTTTCGGGTCTTCTGATTTTATTAAAAAAAAAAAAGGTCATTGCAGGGCTTGTCCTTACTGGGGTTATAAAAGGCGTGTTTGGGATCACATTTGGAAACTCAAACGTGCATCTCAACCGGAGAAGTAATAGGTAGATTGAAAAATGATATTTGGATTCATGTTTTGTGTATTTGACTTCTGCTACTGAAACAAACTTATGCAATAAGTTTAAAAAAGCTGTTTTTACTCAATCTGACTTATGTAAAAGCCAGATTAAAAAAAAGTTACTTCTATCACCGCTATCCCAAATACACTCAGTTTTGATGAGATGTGGGATTATCGTTGGCATACAAAGAAGGGAGTTAAGCAAAGGTCTACGTCAAGGTACCCAAGTGGGACCAAAGTTGATCAAAGCGTAATAATAACAAGTCTTGTCTTATTAAGTAGGATTGGTTATATGAAATACACGACACATAATGGTTAAAGTTGATCAAAGTGCAAGAACCAAAATAAAAAAATTGGACATATATACAAGACGACAAGAAAATACTTTTTCAGAAAGAGTCACACACATATATATTGGCGTGTTGGCAGAATCTTTGAAGGAAATATTTGAGAGATTTTGCAAGCTGTCAGCATGAAAAAGGTAAGAAAGGAACAATGAACCTTAATATCTGATTTATTTTATGAATTTCATGTACACCCACATGGATGGGGATTTTGAAACGACCAATTGTACACTTTTTTCACAGATGTGCATCGCTCATAATTTCCCTGCCATGTGATAGGCCACTTAGCTTCTGGCTTGTAACTTCAACGAAAGTACCTTATGATTAGGGGTGTGTTTGGGTTACACCCCAAATCATGGTTTGGGGACCCAAACCATGGTTTAGGGAATAATCTACCCAAACACCCCCTCCAAAAACCAAAACCATGGTTTTGGGTCAAAACCATGGTTTTGACTCCAAAACCATGGTTTTAGAAAAAGCAAAATTTTTTTGCTTTTGGAGAAAAAAGGGAGAGTGTGAGGGCCTATATGATATGTATCTTGTTATTTTTTTTATAAACATATTTTTTATAAATATATTTAATCTTATATTTTATAAATATATATACACATTAATTATTTATTAATTATATTATCTTATGTATTATTAATTATCTTGGTAAAAAACATATTATTAACAATTTTATTCATTCAAATTAAAATATATCATAAAATCTATTTTTTCTGTAATTATCATATTAACTTATGTCTTTGTTTTAGTAATTTGTATATATAAAAAGTGCTTCTGATAACAACTATCCAAACACTCTCACTTCTCAGAATCACTTTTTTACAAAATCTATTTTTCACAGAATCTATTTTCCCCAGAATCTATTCTCCAGAATCACTTTTCCAAACCACGGTTTGATTTCATCCAAACACACCCTAGATTGTGGACGCTAGGGAGAGAACCAAAATATCATAGAGATTTAATCAATAACCTGATAGTAGTGGTTGGTAAAAAAGCATTTAATTGGGCAAGCACCAAAGTAAATATCGGTTGGTGTGTAATTTGTTAATATTTTCGAAATGGGAATATTCACGAACCATTTAACATGATAATTTAGCTGACGAATATATGACTTGTATCTCATAAGAATAAGGATTTTATATTATTATTTTTATCCTTAATATAGAACTAATTAACTACTTTGAGTATATTAAGAAAATTAATTTAGTTATTTGTAATAAATATACATTGTCTTTACTAAAATATCTTTACTAATTAAGTGTATTGGTTAGAACTACTATTATTATATATATTATATTGAAATAAATAAATACGTGAGACAAAAATAAATTTGGGTCTTATATTTAAAATTAAGATAAAAATTAAACTAATTTTTACATTAAAAACTGAGGACAGACTTTTTTGGGTAGATAATTTGGAAATATCCATCAATGATTCTCCATCTTATTCAAAGCTTCCAGTGCAAGAAACATGCTTGCACTCTGTTTGCCAATTCCTATTGCGTACTTCACATGGACCCAAGTCCACGGAAGGCAGCCTCACCCTGGTGTGAAAATTTTGATCTCCTTAGAGACGTGGAATTGTGGATTATTCAAGTTTTACTTTCAAATGCGTTCCATCATTTATGTTATTTCAGATCATTTTATTGGAATATATTATTTCTTAATTATAAAATGATACTGAAGTGAGCATGTGCATTTTTGTTTAATATATTTTATTTTAGAGATAAATATTAATTTTAGGCGCTGAACTCTTTCTCAATTGTTAATCTAGTTTTTGAATTTTGACTTACTATATAACTTAATCCCTATAGTTTTTTTCTTAGGAAAATTATAGTTTATTAAATTAAGGAATTATGGTTTGACCCCAAAAAAAAAAGAATTAAGGAATTATAGAAATTGGGATGTATTGAGAAAACAAATATAAAGATTGAGTTACTATAAGTAACGCGAGTTCTCATCACTGACATCAAGTTGAGTTGGTTCTTAACAAAATTTAATTAGAGGATATATTAAATAAGATAAAAAAAATTGAGGAATTTTAGAATCCATTTTTATAGTGGAGGAAAATAAATTGATCACCTTGGTAGGAAACTGCCGGACCCTATTCAACCTAGGCTTCCATTTTCGGGCCAAAAATGGGCTCCACTGTATGTTTGTGTCATTTTACTGCGTCTTATTCGGCCCAGTTTTCCCCCGTGGGCCTCCTGACAAAGTCGGAGTTTATTATACCAATAATTCCGCTTGCCGGTATACCAAAAAAAAAACAAAGAGAAGGAGAAGAAGAAGAATTTAAAAAGAAAAACGTGAAAAAAAAAAATATTGTAAGAACGTACTTTCGGATGAAGGCATATCTCGGAGATTTGGTTGCGCGACCCTGAACGGTCATTAGAGTGTCTCCCGCCAAGCCAGAGTCACAGTTCTTACAGCTTTAACTTCCACAATGGCTGCATTCTCTGTCAATACTTCTGCTTCTCCTTATCTTATTGGACGTCGTTGCTTCCCTACTCCCTCGCGTTCCACACGTCTCCAGGTACTCCAGGATCAATTACATCGGATTTTTATCGTGTTCTGCTCTTGGTGAGGGTGGAACGTAATTTTATGCAATATATGTTTTTCTTTGATTCT